GAAATTGAGTCATCAACATATTTCCAGTATGTTCTCTGCTGTTTGGTAATAAAACATGCTTTAAATGTACCTTTTGAGTATGGCTTTACATATCAGTGATTAGGATTTTATACCCCTGAAATATTGTATAGGACACATTTGGAGGGTTGAGGAAATCATTAACATTAGCAACAATATTTATTCTCTAAAGTCAATGATGTTGACATGTTGACTAACCATGAATAAGGACTGACACAGTGATTTAATAAACCCATTTAATCATATAATATAGAGTAAACAGTGGATGATTTATTTGCGACATTATTGTTGCACAATTTTCTGTGGGTTGTCAGAGATTTGAATTACTGTGTACATTTCAAGACTTTCCAAATGTTTGTGAAACAGGACACTGATGTCTGGTATTGTCCAAACATGCACATACAGTGTGTTAACATTACTGTAGCTTCCCATGAAATTTAGTCTCATCCCTCTCCTTTAAAAACAAGACAACCGAATAGTGGTTTTAAAACCTCTACCAGTTTAAGGGAAGACAGGTTATTCTATTAAGGACAAAAAAGCCAAATAAAATCAACATAAGACACTTAATTAGCACACTGTTCATCTCATGGAATGAGGACTACAAAATAACATCAGGAAAAAAAAAACAGATATTGCATGTACTGTATCTATGGATAAATGTTTCAAATTCACCACAATGTTCAAAAATGTATGTTGTAAATATGTTAGAAGTCATCTTGTGAGGCAGTATTGCTTATCTCTTTAACATCACAATTATAAAGAACTTAAGAACGATTAAGCATTTCATAAGCAAAAATATGTTTCCAAGATGAATCATTCAATTGAAAACAGAAATCTATTAATTAACTAGTGGATGTGATTATATGGTGTATCACACAGTCTAACTCAACCTACTTGCATTCTAAATCCTCCCTATTTCTACACTGATACAATACAAAAACTGGTTATAGGCCTTTTAAATAGTGTCAGGCATATGCATACACATTTACAAAATAAGGTTTCAGACCCTGAGTGAAGCAAATATCACTTTGTTAGGGCTGTGTCAAATTAGACACAATTTTAAGATGAAAGGAAAACATTTTATGCATTCAGTAACAATCCCTGTGAGGGCTGCTTTTCATATTTGGATTTTTAACAACCTAAAACATTCAATATTCAAAGCAAAATTATCATCTGATCTAATAAAGCAAAGACAAATACAATTGTAAATATCTTTAGAACAGTTTGTAAATAGGTGCTGCTACTAAATCTTTTACTGTCAAGTTATTTTGCAAAATTCAGCATCATTACTCCAAACATTTATTGTTTTTATTATTAATATTGAAAACAGTTGTGCTGCTTAATATTTTTGTAGAAACTGATACTTTTTTTTCTTCAGGATTCTGTGATGCATATAAAGTTCAAAAGAACAACATTTATTTTAAATGGAAATCTTGTAACATTATAAATGTCTTTGCTGTCACTTTTGATTAATTGAATGCATCCATGCTGAATAAAAGTATTAATTTATTTGTTCAGGGTTATCAGACGCATTAAATGTCTAGGACAAGACCTCCCTGACTACTGTGCCCACAAAGCATAGAGCAAATGTAAAGTAAATCGCTGGCAAAAAAACAAACAAACACGTGTGTAATATGTGTGATTAAAACATTTGGTATATGTACTTTTAAAAACTCTTAAATTTTTAACCCTGTGTGTGTCACGAATCAGCCAGGCTCTCTCAGGCAACTACAGCTCAAGAAGACTCACACTCCTGTCACGTACCAGGTCCAATCAGTAACAGGAAGAGTGTTAAACCGAAGAGGTACGTACGATATACCAAGTTAAACCCTTAACGTTGCGAGTTGGCTGCCTGCATGAAGAAAAATTCATCCCTCTGGTTCTGGAGGAGTCCACCACAGCGATCATCCTAGGGCATCCTTGGCTGATACAACATCAACCGAAAACATCCTGGACCACTGGAAACGTTCTGCAATGGGGGCCAACATGCTTTCGTACCTGTTTTCCATGACTTCTTCAGTCACCCTTGATTGTCCCTGTGAACACCACGTCTATTGAGAGTCCAGTAGATAAACAATCCGTGGATATCCCTACCTGTTATGCCTCATTCGCAGATGTCTTCTGCCCGGAGCAAACCTCCAAGTTACCACCTCATCGACCATGGGACTGTGCCATCGACCTGGAACCGGGTGAGTCAGTACCCCGTGGATGTGTCTATCCCCCTATCCATACCCGAACAGAAGGCCATGGAGGAGTACATAGACGAGGCTCTCAAGCAAGGTTACATCTGTCCTTCCACTTCTCCTGCTGCTTCCAGTTCTACTTCGTGGCAAAAAGGATGGAGGCTTGCGGCCTTACATTGACTACCGGGCACTCAACAAGATCACAATAAAGTTTCCGATATCCTCTTCCCCTCGTCCCAGCTGCTTTAGAGAAACTTTGGGGAGCCTTCATTCACACCAAGTTGGACCTTCAAAGCACCTACCTCATTCGGATACGTGAGGGGGACGAGTGGAAGGCCACCTTTATTACTCCAGCTGGACACTATGAGTAACGGGCTATGCTGTATGGCCTGATCAACGGCCCCTCCGTATTCCAGAATTTCATGAACAAGGTACTCCGGAACTTCCTGAACCGATTTGCGATCGTGTAAATTGACGACAACCAAACTGTTGTTAAAAATGGCATACTCAGCTTAGGCATACATACATATAGTAATCTTACCGTGAAAGGGAAGAAAAAAAACCCCTTGTACACTGACACAGAAGCTAGGATAGGTGTGGTATGTGTTGGGTATGTGTCATTATTACATTATTATTATTACTATTGTTATTACATCATTATTATTATTATTATTATTACTTTTATTATTATTGATATTACAGTTGCCGTCATCACAAGGAATTATTGTTATCATCACCATCTTTAGTATTATTATTATTATTATTATGCATGTTAGTACTACTTAATACTACTACTATTATTCAGATCGTCATTGCTGTTTATTTTCATTGCTGTTATTATCATTGCTGTTCTATTGCTGTTTTTGTGTTTTGTGTTCACCGTATGTTGTATGTTTTGCAGTCTTAATAAAAAAATTAATAATTTGATGACAACCATCAACAGGCCTTACACCATTCCTATGTATACTTGGCTACCAGCCCCCGCTGTTCCTGTGGTAAGGTGAACCATCGGAGGTACCATTCGTCTGTGCCCACCTTGTTGTAAGCT